TGTCCAGCACACCTACTGCCTAGGAAATGACCTCTTGGTAGCACGGAAGTGGAAAGGGATCTTGGAATCCTAATGGACTCCAAGATGAACATGAGTCATCAGTGTGATGAAGTCATCAGAAAAGCTAACTGCACTTTATCGTGCATCAGCAGATGCATGACAAATAGAACCAAGGAGGTAATACTTCCCCTCTGTTGGGTGCTGGTCAGACAGCAGTTGGAATACTGTGTGCAGTTTTGGATGCCATACTTCAAGAGGGATGTGGATAACCTGGAGAGGGTCCAGAGAAGGTCCACTTGTATGGTTAAGGGCTTGCAGGCCAAGCCCTATGAGGAGAGACTAGGGCACCTGGACCTCTTCAGCCTCCGCAAGAGGGCTGAGAGGCGACCTTGTGGCTGCCTATAAATTCATCGTGGGGGCGCAGAAGGGAATCGGTGAGACTCTACTCACCAAGGCGCCCCTGGGGGTCACAAGAAATAATGGCCATAATCTAGCAGAGAGCAGATTTAGACTGGACATTAGGAGGAACTTCTTCACAGTTAGAGTGGCCAAAAATCTGGAATGGGCTCCCAAGGGAGGTGGTGCTCTCCCCTACCCTGGGGGTCTTCAAGAGGAGGTTGGATGGGCATCTGGCTGGGGTCATCTGAACCCAGCACTCTTTCCTGTTTATGCAGGGGGTCGGACTCAATGATCTATTGAGGTCCTTTCCGATCCTAACATCTATGAATTAAACATTATTTATACCAACCAAAGTAGGATTTGTCATCACAAAGGGAATCTTATTCCTGACGCATACTGTTTCAGAATTTTAGTTAGTTTTTCCCCTCGAGGGATAATGTACATAAGACTGATCACCTTCAAAGCCATGCAGCATTGTACCAAAAGCCTGGGCTGCTTGCTATGTGCCTGCTGCCTCCACAGTGGGAAGCAGCAAAGCCTTAGTGTTCCTGCTGAGGTTCTAAGCTGATTAGCCCAGGTGCAGCAGTATCATGCAAATACTGCTGAAATGTCTGAGCAAGCTTGGAATGTTTGTGGCAGGTCTGGCCACACAGCCATAGACCTGGAAAGAGATTGGCCATGGGGTGAAAGGTGGGGAGAATAATCAAGAGGTTTAAGAACCCAGCACTGGTAGATAAAACATTAATTTAGGAGTCAGGAAGGCTAGGATCTCACAGGTATCTTGATAGGATTACCTTAGACAAAGCACTTCACAGTAACACCTCAGTTCCTCCTCTCTCTAGCTGTCTTATGTAGATTCTAGATGGAACTCATCCCCGCAATAACTCAGCACCTTCCAGTAGCACCTTAAAGAATAAGACTAATGTTTTTCATGTATTTGTTCTGTCTTCCACTGCCCCAGGGGAAAAAATGTGTGGAGCAGTTTAAAATGCACACACAGCTATGTTTATATTAGAGAAGGCAAGATCAACAAAAAAAGAATCAGGTCTGGCAGTTAGCGTGGAAGGTGGTGAGGTTTGTACTGGCCCTTACAAGGCGGACAGACGTTCAGCAAGCGCCATGAGTTATACCAACCACCCTTTCCACCCCCACCAACAGACATTCGCTGTTTTTTGGAGAGGGGCTCGTGGAGTGGGGGGAGAGGGAAAAATCAAACTCCATGTCTGTCAGCACCCTTCAACCACTCTACTCTAGCC